TTATTTGCTAAGAACTTTTCATCAATCAATATTATCTCTAGTCATGTTCTACCTGATAAAGCCCACAAACAAAATAATCCATTGCCTGACATTCATATTACTCCAGCTTCTGTATCTAAAGTGATTTCCTGCTTAGAGTCTTCTCCTGTTATAGTCTTGCAAAAGTGTTCTCCGGAGCTATTGTCTATTATATCAAAACTATTTAAGAAATGCTTATCAGAGTCATTTTTTATAGCCTGCTGGAAAGCGGTATCTATTATCCCTATTTTCAAAAATTATGTAGAGCAATCTGACTCGTCTAACCATTTTATTAGTCTTCTTTCTGTCATAAGCAAAGTTTTTGAATCTTTAGTTAACAAACACTTGATCTCTCATCTTGAATTTAATAACTTACTTTCTGATTATCAATATGGATTTTGAACTTTTTGTTCTACTTCTGATTTGTTAACGTTATTAACTGATAGGCTTTATCATGCATTAGATAGATGTTGAGAGGCCAAGGCTCTAGACGTTTCTAAAGCTTTTGACAAAGTTTAGCTTGCTGGTTTTCTCTTTATAAGCTCTCCTCTTATGGTCAGGTAAGATCTTTAAGATTATTGTATCCTTCATAATTATCAATCATAATTTTTCGTTCTTCTTCATATCCTGTAACTTCAGGGGTTCCTCAAGGTTCTATCCTTGAACCTATACTCTTTTTAATTTACTTCAAAGATCTTCCAGAAGTTCTTACATCTAAAGTGGTATTGCTGATGATACTACCATTGCTGATGATACTACCATTACTCGTATTATGATAAGAAGCCAACACTCTCTGATTGCGTGGAGGGGACATTATAGCTTGAAAAGGATCTGACTTCTGCTATAGCATGGGGCTCTCAGTGGATGGTGAACTCTAACTCAGATAAAACTCAATTTTTTTCTGGTAATTGCTATTACAATAATCTAGATCTCGCTATATTTATGAGCAGTAATGTATTCAATGAGTCATCTACCCTTCATCTTCTAGGATAAACTCTCACTTCTGATCTTTTTTGAAAACTATATATCAAATCAATTGCAAAATTAGCAACTACTAAGGTTGCATCTTTTTATTGTACTCAACACTTTCTTACTCAGGATTCTATTATTTTCTCTCGCGCATTAGTTATTTGGAATTTGCTTCCATCATCTTGCTTTTCTGGTTCATATATTTTGCAATCTTTTAAGTTGTCTGTCAATTCTTATCTTGTTCTATAAGCTTCATCTTTTCTCTTCCAGGAATTTCCAATTCTAATAATTGTTGTTTGCAGCCTTGTTGGATGTGAAAATGTTAAAAAAAATAATAATAAATAAAAACTTGTCATTATAAGCTCTACCCTAACCTAAAAATTTATTATGCAACAAAATCTTAAATAGTTTTTTTTTTTTAAACTAAATTAAGGAAATATTCAAAAATATTTTTGTTTTAATTGATATCCCATATTTTTCTATTTTTAGTTCCTATTGAAAGTAAAGTTATTGCCAAAGAGCGTGATGCTGGCATGTATCGTCTTTCAGCATACTATACTGCTAAAAATATAGTTGATCTACCAATTATATTTCTTCCACAGGTTTTTATTTATACAGTTACATACTGGATAACTGGACTTAATCGTTCTCCTATATTTCTACTCGGGCTTTTTAATAACATGTTAATTACTCTAACAGCACAAGTAATTTTTTTAGAATATTTGTGTTTTTTTTAATTTTAAATTTATGGCAAAAAATTTTAAATTTTCATTTATTTTTGCTTTATGTATTTTACACCTTGAGTTTTTACATTTTAAATTTACATGGCATAGCTAGTTGCATTATATAACTTATTTATGTTTAACTTTTTAGTCTTTAGGGCTAATAATTGGTGCAAGCATCCAAAATCTCAGAAAAGCTCATATTGTTGCAATGACTGTTTTTATGTGTTCCATACTTTCTGCAGGTTTTTATACAAAAAGATTACCGAGTTGGCTGTCATGGTTTAAATATATATCTCAATTGACTTATATATACAATGTCTTTGTAAGATTGGAGTTTCAATACTCTGTAAAACTGTTTGAGTATGTTTTATACTATTTCTTAATTTTGATATTTGATAATTGGTTGTTGTTACCATTATCATCATCATCATCATCATCATCATCATCATCATCATCATCATCATCATCATCATCATCATCATCATCATCATCATCATCATCATCATCATCATCATCATTATCATCATCATCATCATCATCTTCATCATCATCATCATCATCATCATTATCATCATCATTGTCATCATCATTACCATCATCATCAAATCATCATCATTACCATCATCATCATTACCATCATCATCAAATCATTATCATCATTAAATCATCATCATCAAATTATCATCAAATCATTAACATCATCATCAAATCATCATCATCATCATCATCAAGTCATCGACATCATCATCATCAAATCATCATTTTCATTATTTAGAGTTACTCATAATTTTTTGTATTTTTTTTAGGCGCTTTACATTTTCAGTATCATATTTCTAAAATATTTTCAGTATCATATTTCTGAAAATAAAATTTTTAGTTTTAGAGTGTAGCATTATGGAATTTTTTGAATCAAAAACGATCTTTTTTAAAAAATGTTCTGCACTATGATTTAGGATTGAGGAACATTTTTTTTTTTTTTACTGCCCATCAAAAATTGTATCTTAAATTTTCGCTCCCCAGTAAAAATCTCATTTTAAATTATTAATTTCAAATGCACTGTGGCCATATAGAGGTTTTTAGATATACAACATTTTAATTCTGAAATTTGACGTTTTTCCTAATATATGAACCCTTAATAAGTAATCCATACTGGAAACTAAATTCAATCCACTTCTTAATAATTTTTCTGTGTTATTTTGCCAGTTCTTTTTCATAAATTAAATAAAGTTAGAAATTATTTCACTTTTGTTTGTTGCTATGTAACTAATGTTGCTATGCACCTAATGTTGCTATGCAACTAATATTAGTGACTGTTCAATTAATAAATTTTAGAGACCCCGACAATTTGAGAACTTTCAATTTTCTCTGACATGATTAGCATCCCACTCTGCTCCTGCTCCTGCAACTGCTTTAACTGTACACATTTTTCTGCACTCTGCTCCTTTAACTCCTTTAACACTCTGCTCCTGCAACTGCTTTAACTGTACACATTTTTTACTGTTTGGTTCTTTGTATTCAGCTATAGTTTCAAATCCATCAATCACTTTGTTGGACCAAATTTGTGAAAGAACTTAACCAGCTTTGGCAAAATTTGCCTTCTCTATAACTTTCTCTGTTGTTTCTTCTCTTGAATTAAGATGACTTCCAGAATGATTAAATGGAAGTATAATTCCTGCAAGGTCGTGGCTTAGCAGAGCCATTTTTCTCTCTAACCTGTTAAAGGCACTTCTGCCAGGAGCATTGGTTTCCACAAATATGCCATCAAGGTCATGCTCTATAAAATAAGTCATAGTGCAATGCATTGTTTTTTCAAATCTTGGGTTTTCATCTGATGCGACCATCAACTGTTTTAATCATGACTAGTTTGCTAGTTACATCTTTAGTAAATAAGCTGCTTTTAAAGTCAGGAAGATGGTTGATTCTGTTCATATTTTCTAAGTGATTAAGTCCTTTTTAATGAATCATGTTTTTCACTTTTGAATGCTATGTATGTTGGGCTATGGAATATGTGACTGTTTGTTTTTTCATGCAATCTTTTTTGATTTCTATGGCTGCAATTACTGAAGGAATAAGTTTGTGTTGAGGAGCAATTACAAAATCATGATCAGCTAAAGTCCCGTTATACTCATGATTGTGTGCTTATTTGTTTGCAGATTTTGTGTCAGCATGATATTTATGCTAAGAGTTTTGTGCTCTTATAAATCTAACAGGTGCAGTTTTAACATGTCTTTTTCCTTTTGTGCCCAATGATCTGCTTAGAAGTAATCTTAACTCCTGATCTGAAGAGATTTGTTTCTATGCTTTTTCAATACTTCAACCAAATAATCTAATGTTTTTACAGTTCAAATTATTTAAGTTCTTTTCCTACCATCAAAAGCAGTCTCTTTTTTGGCAATATCTGCAATTGTCTTAATTAAACTGTCCTGGTCACAGGTTAGCGGTCGACTTTTTGATACTGCATTTTTAATTCCATACAACCTTTTTGTAATGCGTATCTAAGGCTTCTATTGCTTTTTTTTCTTTTAAGTCTAGTTACTGTTTGACGTTCAGTGGCTTTTTGACGAAATACAAGATCTCAGTTTTTTTCTATCAGAAAATTCTGCTTTTGCTCTAATATATGGTAGTCCTTTTGTGACATAAATATCTTTGTAAAATAAAAATTTCATTCTCTAACTGATCTTGTTTTGGCACTGTACTTGTAAAACTTTTTACAAATTGGAGTTTTCTTGCCATTCTTTTTCACTGTCTTCACTTGCTGTAATTGATAGGGATGCATCAGTCATGTCATTAAAAGTGATTTTAGATTTGATTTTAGATTTTAGATTTGACCACAAGCTTTTTTGGTCTATTGTTTGGTAATTTTGACCAGTAGGAAAAAATAACAACTTTATTTCGAAGTTCAATTTATTTTAGTTCTTTTAAATTTTTTTTTCAACTTTTATTTATTTTATGAGACTTTTACTTTGGTTTGTTTGCAAACGCTTTTAAATATTCTTCATAAATAGATTTGTAAAGTTGTTCCTTTTGACTAGACATTTTTATTCTTTAACAACATCGCCAAGAAATTTATTTTCCTAACAACCAATCAGCTAAAAACTAGTATATAGTAAAAATAATGTTAATAATAGCATTATTTCTATCTCTATAAATCTCAAATCCGACCTTGTATGGAATACTGTTGCCATATCTGGGGCGGATCTTCTAATGATGCCCTTTCTCTTTTAGACAAGGTGAAAAAACGCATTGTAAACATAGTTGGACCTGCTCTTGCAGCCAACCTTCAACCTCTGTTACATTGTCGTAATGTTGCTTCTCTTTCTTTTTTCTACAAATACTATAATGGGCACTGCTCTAAAGAGGTAGTGTCTCTTGTCCCATCTACTAAAATTCATTCTCGTGTTACTCGTCATTCAACTAAGTCTCATCCTTTTTTTGTTACTATTCCTAAGTGCTCTAAAAACTCCTATTCATCTAGTTTTTTTCGTCGAACATCAGTTCTTTGGAATTCGCTTCCTTCATCTTGCTTTCCTGATTCATATAATTTGCAATCTTTTAAGCCGTCTGTCAATCGTTATCTTGCTCTACAATCTTCATCTTTTCTCTTCCAGTAGCTTCCAACACTAATTAGTGGCTGCTTGCAGCCTTGTTGGATGCGAAGATGTTGGAAAAAAAAAAGTTTATACTAAAATTCATTAACATCCTAACTAACTAATTTAATGAATAATAAAAATATAAAATAATGACGTAAATAAAGTAATTAGATCAATTATTTGCAATAAAGTGACAAAAATGTTAAAAGTAATAATAGCATTGAAAATAATAGTATTGCAAAACAAAAAAAATAAGAATTTATTGATCCAAGAACTATATTGATTATGTATTTTATTTAAAGATCTAATTTTAAGCAACTATTTATACTTAAATTTTTAGTCTATTAATATAAATATTAGAATTTCTGTTATGCGTGCAATTTCCACAAAAGTAATTTCATCTGGCGTAAATTTGAATAAGTCTATTCTAATCATTTAATAAAAGCAAAAAGTTTTTGTTAAATAACAGTTAATGAAAAATGCTTGCTATTTGCGTTGCATATCATTTCTCTTGAAATTGATTGTTTTTATCAATTTTTTTCTTAAAATCAGTATTATAAATAAATACCTCCAAGTTTGCAATTAAAGTAATTTGATTATGTAGTTTAATTCAAATTTTTTTGTTACGTCACAACTGTTACGTCAAATGTTATGTCACACTGTGTAAAACCACCCCCTCCCTCATGTGATATTTGGTGACACTTTCCAATACCCCCTCCCTCCTTAAGACTGTCATGTATTATTTGAACAGTCCTTTAGCAGCAACAAAAGTAAGGAAAAAAAAACTATATTTAGAATGAAATGAAATTAACTTGTAGTGAATGTTTTCAAATAATTAAAAATAGGAATTTGTTATCCATACTCAAAAAAATCAGCAAAAAACAATCTCAACAGATTTCTGCTGGTTCATTAAAAGTACTTACTATTAAAAATGGAAAGGAATATAAGTTCTCACTTGTAACACCCTTTGCTGTCTGATACTAACCTTCATTATTCTCAGTTCACTTATCTTGTATCTTATCTCAGAAGTTAGACTCTAGAGACTTTTAGAAAATCTTCAACAGCCTCATTAACAAGGGTAGGTCAAACATTCCATCTCTCATTTATGGGACTGATTTTATTACCTCTCCTAAAGGTAAGGCAGAACTATTTGTAAATAACCTTTCTTTAAATTTGTGAGTCTTGCGGCCATTCTCTTCCTTTCATTCCAATTATACAGGTTAACCATTGTTAGACAAACCAATCAGTCCTCAAAGGCCAACACACTTCTTTATTTCCAGTAACTTCTGGGGTACCTCAAGGTTCTATCCTTGGTCCCGTTTTGTTTCTTAGATACATTAATGATTTTCCCAGCATTTTTATATCTTTTTACATTTTACATTTAAATTTTAAAGCAGCTCTTTTTGCAAATGACTAATGACTTTATACTGCTGCCTTGACAAAATATTTTTTCTTTTTGATTGTTCTGAACAGGCAGCCCATCTTAAATATGATCTTACTTCTCTAACAGATTGGGGCTAATAGTAGCTAATATTGCAATATGGTTGACATTCCTATATTAATGAATGGCAACCCTTTCACTGAGTTCTCTTCTTTACGTCTTCTTAGATTATCGTTTAACGGACCTTTAACGGAAACCATATATACAATCGATTGCTAAATAAGCATCTGCTAAGGTTGCTTCTCTTTATCGTGCTCGCCATTTTCTCTCTCCTAATTCCATTCTCTACCTCTACAAATCTCTTATTTTGTCCCTGTATGGAATACTGTTGTCATATTTGGGCTGGTTCTTCTAACGATGCTCTTTCTCTTTAAGACTAGATCCAAAAATGCATTATAAACGTAGTTGGACCTGTTCTATCTGCTAAGCTTAACCCTTTTTCCCATCGTCGTAAAGTTGGATTTTTCTCTCTTTCCTACAAATACATTGTTGCTGTTATCATTATTAGTTATCATCTTTAGTTCCATCAACTAAAATTTATTCTTGTTTGACTTTTCATTCAGCTAAGTTTCATTCATTAATTGTATCTGCCTCCTTTTTTACCTGCACTTCAAACATTTGGAAATCTCTCCCATCTTCATATATTCCTGACTCATACAACCTACAACTTTTGAAGTCTTCTGTCAACCGTTTCATTGGTCTATATTTCTATACTTTTTTTTCCTAATAACTCCCAACTTAATTGTGGTTGCTTGGTTACTCCTTGCTTTGAGTAAATCTGAATTAAATTCAAAAAAAAAGATTAAATTCCCTCATCAGATTTCCATATCTTTGAACATAAAATCATTCAAAAAGATTCTTTCATAAAAAATAATATCATGTAGTATTTAGAAGGTTTAGTTGGTTTCACCAGGTATGGTCATAATGGATGTAGCTATGATAGTACAAACTGAAACAAAATTAGAAATTATATAAAATATAAATCGATTAATCATTTGATGTTGTTTGCACAGAAAATATTCTTACATTGTCTCAAAACCCTCAGAGGATTTGAGATATACTTTTATTTGTGAAAAAATGTTTTGGAACTATTCAGTGTCGATCATATGCAAAGGATATTTGGACATTTGTTTTAATATCCTTTACATATGATGAAAGAACTGGAACTGTATGCCAGAGACATGATTCCAAACTTTCACCAGTATGGAAGTTTTGTATAATTTAAACTCATTCGGTTATTTAGCTCAACAAATCTTCATTGTTTCTATAATACTGCGTAAACAGGCTTCAGAAGCCACTCGCAAAAGCATGAAATGAATAGCCAAGCAACCTCAGTTTTGAAACAAAATGTGAAGTTATAATAAACAATAGCTGTCACATATTCCAGTATGAGAAATTAAGTAAGTCGTTGTAAAACTGAAATTGATTGTAGAACTGTCAATATCAGTTAAACCTTAAAACTAAAAATTTTTAACAAGTTTACTTTTATAACTGATTTTACTCATTTGGATAAAATGAGAGATTATCTTATAACTGATTTGCTCATTTAGATAAAATGAGAAATTACCTTTAATTATAATTTATAAAGCAATTATTGATCAATAATAGAAAGTTAAATTATGAATAAGAACTTATGAATAAGAACGTATGAATAAGAACTTATGAATAAGAACTTATGAAAAAGAACTTATGAATAAGAACGTATGAATAAGAACTTATGAATAAGAACTTATGAATAAGAACTTGCAAGCAACGCATTTGAATCAAAAATGTTACTAAAGGAACCCACCTTAAAAGCAAAAATTTGAAAATGTCTTTTCTCTGTTTATTTTCAAAGGTTGTGACTGCATTTTATGATAGGTAGCTGATTCTAAAATAATATAATATATACACGAAAGATGCCCAAATCATCTAATAAGGAGTGAATACAAACTTATCTTCAACATGAATAAGTCACCTCATAAGGATTCATATATTAGAAAAAATTTCAGAACTAATATGTTGTAGATTAGACCACAGTGACTAAAAAGCTCAAATTAAATTTGCTACTCCTTTTTTTTTTAATTTTCTTTGCAACTCTCTCAACTTTACTCTCTGAAACAGTAAAACAAGAAGCTGCGCAGAGAAGCAGTACTGTCAGAAGCATAGGGTGGATTTGAATCATGAACCTTTTGATTGTGAGCCGAGTGTTTTATCACTAGTTTTCTACAACATGCCACTAGTAAAACAAACAATAAATTTTAACAATAAAAATTATTAAAATAAGAGATTTTAATATTCAGTGGAGTAATGATAAAAAAAATCTCCCACTTGCTAAACGTTAATGAGACACTGCTGAGTGATCGCATAAAACTGTGGTAATAAACTGATTTTGGGACTAGTCATACACTAAATTATTTTATATGCATATAAAATACAAACTCATAACTGAAAAACGAGACTGAGTTTTAAGATATAAGGTAAAACAAAAATCGATAGTTTAATCGAAAGGTCTTTTAAGGTATAAGGTAAAACAAAAAGGAAAAATGTTTTAAAAAGTATTTTTATTCTATTTTTTAAATATTTTCTCTTTATTTTTTTATAGAAAAATATATGAAAAAGTAAAAAGTAAAGTTGATTAAACTTGAGCAGTCCGCATTGCTATGCTGACCTCATTTTACGTTATTTGCGAAGCTACATTGGCTTTGCAGTTGCGTCATCCACATTTTGTGTTTGTTAACTAAAAATGCTATAAAAAAAAGTTTTTTTTTAAATTACATAATTAAGATAATTAGTAAAACCAGAAATTATTTTTGCTGAAAAGCTTTATTGGCTAGCTAGTCAGGCTGAAAAGTTTTATATAAAATAAAAATAACTAATTATATAGAAAATATGATATAGAAAATATTTTCATTCTAGTTATAAAACTAGAATTAAAATATTTTTTAAAACAATTTTTCTTTTTGTTTTACGTTATATTTTAAAAGTGTATCTCATTTTTTAGTTGTCACGTAATGTTGTATATACAGATGTTTTATTTCTTTTTTTTTTTTTTTTTTTTTTTAGATGTTCACCAAAGTCTATTTTTCAACAATGTACTTCGAACAGCTCTTACATTTCTGGTAACGATATATTGATAAAAACCAAAAATATTGATTTAGATGTAACACAATCATTTTTGGTGATCATCGGAATAATTGTTATACTTAAGATTTTATTTTACTTTGCTTTAAAGTATTTAAACAAACCTAGATAAATGTTTGTAAAATAAACTTTGGTTTGAGATTTAAAAAAGTATTATAGTAATTACATTATTTTAAATTAGCTGAGATCGGCCCCGTAAAAATACGGTTCTTTGTATATCTATTCCAAACCGAACTTTTCCATACTTTTTCCTTATATATCCTAGCAGGCCGGCGGAAGGCGGGTACAATGGGTGATTTCCACCCTGGCGCCAACGCTTCAAAGGCGCCAAAATTTCATTGAATGCTTATTATTTAAGAATATAAAATTATATAAATTTATAAGAGTATTTAGAGTAAAAACGGGTCAAACTGATCATACTATTTTTTCGATCACTGATCGAAAAAATTAAATAAAACCGGAACTGATAGAAATATTTAAAAAATAAAAACACCAGAAGAAAGAGAATTGTCTCCTTTTTTCAAATGTGTCAAAATAAGTCATCTTTCAGTCGTTTAATTTTTATAAAAGTTTAAAAGAGAGTCTAAAAATTTGCTTTTTTCTTTTATTTGCTATCGTAATAATTCGGGAACCATAATACGCTTGAAAATAATTTGACCTATATCTTGTAAAAAATTTAATTTTAATACCGATTACATGATTTTTTTTCGTTTTATAGTTAAAATTAGACAAAAAAGTAAGAAAAATTAATATTAAATTTTATCTGGAAAAACTCGCATATTTACTTCAAATTCCTTTATTAAGTAATATGTTAATTTTTAAATTAGGTACCTAGGTGAACTAAATTATTGAATTTTCTCATGTGTTAGTTCCGGGATCTTCCCATATAAAGTTATTTTACAAAAATGACTCAATGATATTTATTAATTATTCACTTTCAAGATGACAACAAAGAAGATATAGAAGCTGCGTTAAATGATATAAAAAAAAAATACTTTAATCAGAAAAGCTGCATTCAAATATGGCATTCCATTCTCAACTCTAATAGGTCGCAAGAACAGCAACAATGCTAGATTTAAAGGATCAGGATCAATAACCGTACTCTCACAACAAACAGAGTCAATTATGGTGCACGCGTTTAAGTTCCTATGTGATTGGGGTTATGGTTTAACACGAAATGATGTCATGGACTTTGTATGCGGTTACCTTCTTTGTACAAATCTATCAGACCTATTTAAAAACGGCAGGCCTGGCTAAGACTAATTTTATGCATTTATAAACCGATGATCTAAGGAAATTTCTACAAGAAAACTCACACTTTAGCATCTGCCAGAGCCGCTTCTTGTAGGCAAGAAATAATTGATATTTATTTTGAAGTTGTCACTATAGAGTATCAATTGTCTCGGATAACTTCTGGTTGTCACATTTAGAATTGCGATGAAACGGGTTTCTATGGTGATCAAGGCAAAGCAACTGTAGTATGTCGAAAAGGTGCAAAGCGTGTTTTGAAACTCACTGGTAACAATGAAAAAATTGATTATACAATAAACAATTTCTGTAATGCTGATGGATACTTTACACCGCCATTCGTGGTACACAAAGCAAAACGAAACTTTAGAGCTGAGTGGGCTTTAGGTGATCCAACTGGCATCAAACAATCACTTTTTAAATCTGGTTGGATGGAGCATTTATTGAATGATTGAAGGAAGTGTATATAACAGAATGTCAAGCTATTAGGGGTACTCATATTTTACATCTTGATGGACATAAGTCTCATAGCTGTATTGCTATGTCGGAAAAACAATATAATTTTGATTTGTCTACCAGCCCACTCATCTCACGTTCTTTAGCCACTGGACAGAGGTGTCTATTGCCATGTTAAGCAAGTGTAAAAGGCAGTCCTTACCAAATATTAAAAAGAAACAAAATGCAAAAACTTTGAAAAAAAAATAATCCTACGTTGCTCAAACAGGTGTATTAGAGCGGTAAGAGTTTTACACGTTTGCACGCCGTTGCTGGTTTTGAATATACTAGGTTATTTCCACTTAACAAAAACAAAATCAATCAACAGGCATTAGCTATCTCCGAAACGTTTAATCAGCCGACGTCTTCAACGCAATTGCAAACAATAAAGTCTTTAGCATTATCTTCAGAACCAACAACAGTAGCTTCGAGGTTCGACAAGTACAGAGCACTACATGAGAGAATGAAAATCGAAATGGAAAATAAGCTAAAGAGTTTTTTTTCAAGAAATAAATCAGTCTCATGTAAAAAAATAGAGGCAACCTAATATTCCAAAAATTGCTGGCCAATGTATTACAAAACACGGTGTTGCAGATCATCTCAAAAAAAGAGAAGTTTAGCAACTCAAATTTACTGAAAAACAAGCTAAAAAGCGTAAAACCATTTGCAAACTCATAATGCCATTGCCAAACCCTGCAGAAAAAGAAGTAACTCAAAATAAAGAACCGATTACAACACCTTCAGCCATAAGAAGAAAAGTTATTAAATGCAGAAAGTGTAAAAAAGAATTACATTCGGAAATAATGTCATGCGAGAATCCAAATTGCAAAACTTGGCTCTGCAACAAAACATGTTTGCCAAAAAATTTTGCAACGGGTTCAGACTTTTTTGTTGTAAAAAATGTAAACCTTAAATCTTTTATTATTTCTGTATGCTATATAAAACATATATAGCACATTTCCGTATGCTATATAAAAAAAATATATAAATATTTACATTTACATAGATAATAAGATAATATTGATAATAATAACATAGATAACATTGATAATATCTATATAAAGTGTTAATATTAACATCATAATAAAAGATAACATAAAAATGATAATAATAAATATAGCAATAATAATAATAATAATAATAATAATAATAATAATAACATAATAATAAAAAATAATAACATAGACAATATATATGTAAAATGTTAAATTTATTAAACGTATTTTATATTGATCGATTTTAACAGACTTTCTGCTAAAAGCAATCTTTTTTTTTTTTCTTCTAGTTTTCATATTTTCAAATACAATTAAAAAAAATATAGTGTACTTGTTGGAATTTTCTATGTTTTTTTAAAAAAAAACGTTTAAAAATTTTTAAAAATAACAAAGTTACTTGATTTTTATTGTTCGGTGATCAGTTTGACCCGATATATAAAACATTATCTAAATTTTTTTTAAATTTATTCAGTGTGTATTAGTTTACATTTTTTTAAATGTTTTAATTAATTAAGAAGAAATCATGCACAGGGCCCACAAAAGGTTGGAGCAAAGAGGCATACCTGCCCCGAGCGCCAAGACATTAGGGGCGCTAGATGGCAAAAGTTAAAAAAAACAATTGTGAGATTATAGTTACAAAAAAGTAAAAAAAATTTTTTTATTGAAGATGCATAAAATAAATTTACTTGATGATATGCGTAGCTTTATTTATATTACCAAGGAATTATAGTTATCAATAATTTATTTCTTTAATATATTACTTAAGAAATAAATTATTTAAAACTTTATAATATAACCATCATATAACCATTTATAACATAACCATAATATAACCATTTATAATATAACCATCAGGACTTTTTACAAAGAACCGCTGTTGAAGAAATTATAGGGGAGAGTGGGGAAAAGTGGGACACGTAAATTATTTTTAGGATATTTGCAAAATCTTTTTTATTCGATGTATAAACTGAACCAAACAAGTTTTTACGAATAAACCTTCTTTTTAGACACCAATTCAATCTCCTTAGGTTTCCAACCAATTATAACTAAGTATATAAATTTTTGCTTTTAGAGAAACGTGCTTTTGGGGGACAAGTATGAGTAGAACTGGGACAAATAAATGTAAAACAACATTTTAACACAAATTATTAAATAGAAACTGATAAAATCATAAAATCACCTCATCAACATAAAAATGTTCAAGAACTTTTACCAATCGAAATAATCAAATGGCAACGGGAAAAAGCGGGGCATAAATATTTCTTTTTTCTGTCCCACCTAACCCCAATGTAAATACTTTTTAAGGTACATTTCAAAACTAGGGCTTCTAGCGCACGCAGGGAAACAAAGCAGTTTCTGCTAAATAGAGGGGAGGAAATTTAGTTGTTTACATTAAATAACAGTATTTAGGCACCACTCCTAATTAGAAATTTCAGGCTGTTCCATTTCTCCCGTGTCCCACTTATCCCCACTCCCCTATAGTTATTTAAACCAAATTAAAAAACGTTGGTGCGTTTACTCTTTCTTGCTAAACTAAGCATATAATTAACTAAAACTAAAACCTAAACTAATCAAAGGTTACCTAGAACATCAGCATATTTTTATAAATTGTGTTGCATACCGTTGAAATAAATTAGAATATGATCCAATTGATACGCCAACAGTAACCTCTTTAAAAAATATTTTTATGACGCTGCTTTGGCTGCAGCAATTGTCAGGAAATGAAATTAAAATCTAAAATCTTTTTGTTTTCAACTCCAGCCCCACTAGATGGAAGATCTTGCTTTACAAGTTTTTGGATACCCGATGTTCAGTTTAGATTGCCGCTATAAAACTAATAGCCAAACGAACGCGGGAAATTACTGTTGCTCTTAAGCCGCTGCTTTACCTTTACCTAGAACAAAAATTGACCCATGATGAGCAGATGACTGGTCTTGAAACAAAATTTTTTTACAAAGCAAATGATAATAGCAAAATCCAAATGAACCTGGATATGTATTTTTTTTACATGAGTTCTTCAAACATAAGCTTGAAGTAAATATCTTTAAGGTTGAGCTTCGTCATTCCATTCAACAAATTCAATTTAAAACTGGAATTGTAAAAACTGCTTTGTTAAGACTACTATTCATCTGATTAGAAAGATCAAAAACTAATAAAAATTGAAGCTTAATGAAGAAAACAACTTTATGAGAGTTTTGCACCTTCATAGCTTGAAGTAGTCTTCACTTTTTACTTCTGGAAGCATTTTAGGTATTCTTAACCAAATATACTCAAATGGGCTAAAGCATACATTCCAACCTGTATGCATTCTAATTGGACTTTTTAACACAACGACCTTTAAGTAAACTAAAATTGATAAAAAAAAAAAAAAATGTAGGATCACTATAAAACAAAAA